TCCAGAAATACATTTTACTGTATGGTGGCCCGGTCCCCCAGCGAGCCTTACTTGCACTGCAGTGACCATTTAAGAAACCGCTAAATCATCATTCTGGGAAACGTAAATACTGGCTCTAACTGAACTCACAAAGAAAATACGGAAATGTCTGATGCCACAAAACAGATGGGCTCCAAATATTGCTGATCTGGAAATAGCTGCCAAATACGTGCATTGAAAGCCATGTTATATTTCTAACTTCTTCAGAGAAACACAATTCCAAACTTTGTGGATCATGCCTTAGAATAGCAGGGCGGTCAACTGATCGCATGGCTCTTTTGCACCTGATCGAGGGATATTAGCTTACTGGAGTTTGGTGAGTCATGGCCTGATCCACCTCTCCAATCGCTCTGCCAAAAAACCACAGTAGACAGATCATCTGCACCAACTAGCGAACATACAAACTAAATTGCTGAAGACAAATTGCACTCTTAAAAAAAAAAAAAAAAGGTTCCAAAATGTTTTTCCCCATTTAAGCACCAATTTGGGTTCCCAAAGAACCTTCCATGGAACGGTTTTTAAAATAACCATGTTTTTCTTAATGTGAAGAACTTTTTAATAACCGTTTCCCATTATTAAGAACCATTTGTGGAATGGAAAGGTTCCATGGATGTTTAAGGTTCTTCATGAAACCATACAGTAGATGCCAATTATTAGAACATGGTAACTCGTGTGTCTTTCTTTCCCACTAGGTAAAAGTGTGGTTTCAGAACAGACGGATGAAGTGGAAGAGAGTTAAAGGAGGCCAACAGGGGGCGGTAGCGAGAGAAAAAGAGCTTGTGAATGTGAAGAAGGGAACGCTGCTTCCCTCCGAGTTTTCGGGAATTCCTGGACTCCACCATACACCAGACTCGCTTATCAACAATGAGGACAGCCACGACAGCGACCAGAGCTCTGAGCACACTCACTTATGATACAAACAGATCCCATTCGCCTTTCGATGCTTATCTAGGGTCATGTTCAGTTAGGGATTATGTTAAGTACGGACTGAAAGTACAGACTGAAAGTACACAAAGACCATATGTGCCAATGAGGAGGCACCGTAACACGACGCCTATCAGGACAGTTCCTGTGACGCCTCAAGAGTAGTGACAATGTAAAAATGTACACAGGACTGATGTATTGTTATGCATTTGGATGATACAGAATATTTGTGATACCCTGGCATCAATTTTCACACAAAAATGTGCCTTGCTTGTTTGACAGAATTTGTTAACACGTTTGAAATGTGCTATAAGTCATTTTAAAATCCTGCCTGTCAGCAAAGCCGACTAGCATCCCAGATTTGTTGCTGTTTACAGAGCCTAGGGACTTCTGTCAGGTCTCATGGATATTTTCTGCATGCTATTTCATAAAATAATCACTTACAGCACCTTTAAAGTACCCTTCTACTGCTCTTTACTTGAAAGACAGAATCTAGGAGTCCAATCTGGCCCAACAACATTCCATTCAGATCTTGCATTGAAAAGGTGTAAGTTTTAGTTTGCACTGTCAATTTCTGTGCTTTAATTGATTTCTACTGTATGTTTTTGTACTATTTTGATGTCATCAGAATAATGATCAATCAAGAGTGCCTTCAAAAACATTTCAGATGATATTATGTTATGTAAATATAATAAGTATTCATATTTTTTAAAAAATCTGACAGCTGTATCATGTGCACACAATACCACATGCTTCAACAATAAACTTTTTGTATGTTGCTTGGTTTGATTTTTTTTTTTTTATCAAGAATGAATCTTTCTTTGAGGTCAGCTAATGAAAGACACTGCTTCAAGAAGGATTTGAAGCTTTTGCCTACAGTTTGAGGCCAGCTGATGGAATTGCCACCCATTTGGTTTTCTAGGACATTTTGGTTGTGACTTTTGTGATTTATTTATTTATATGTATTTATTTCTTTTAGTAGCATTGGTAAGAATGGGTTGAACTGTGGGATTTGGTTTTATAGGACGTTTTGGGATAAAAAATATAAAACCCCACACTATCGGATAAAAATATAAAAAAGTTAAATGCAAATTTATATCTCAAAATTCTGACTTTTCCTTGCAGTTCTGGGAAAAAAATCGTCTGAATTGCGAGATACAAATGCACAATTCTGAGTAGAAAAGTCAGAATTGTTGGATATAAATAGCAAGAAAGAAAGTCGAAATTGTGAGCTAAAAATTACCTTTTTTATCTTTTATTTCATGGCAGAAACAAACTAAAAATTATGAGAAAGTTTATATCTTGCAGTTTTGAGAAGAGTCTAAACTATGAGATCAAAAGTCGCAGTTACCTTTTTATTTACTTTTTTATTTTGTGGCAGAAACAGGCTTACACTGAAAAATGAATAAATAATATTTAAAAAAATTAATAATAATATTAAATAATGTAAAAAATGATACATGTATATACACTATTATGCATATATTTACAATTATACATTTTATACACTTAAAATTTGAAATTTAAAATTATATGGGTAAATTAAAATTGATTTCAAAAGAATACTGAAATATAAAATTGTGGCCTGGCTGAGCAAGTAGAAAACACATTCTTATTGTTGAGCCTTGCTGCCTGTATCTGATTATTGAAATCTTATAAGTTCCCTCTACTTATTCCAACACAGTTTTCTTAAAACAGAAGCATTTTAAGTTATGATAAATTGATAATCTTCACATGAATATTTTAATTTAACGTGAAGACATCTGCCTTTGGTAGTGAGTAATCTTAAAAGATTTGTTAAGTAGTAGTTAGAATTTGTGTTGAGTCACTTTGCATCTACTTTTATGCTGATGCTGAGCAATAGGGACCTCCTTACAGAAGCTGAAATTCTGGGCCTTAATTGCACGTAATTGGACTGGACCTTCTGCACTGATACACAACCGTTGTTGTGTATTCAGCTGCGAGTCTAATCCATCAAAACCATTTTTCTGACCCTCACCACCTTCACGCCTTAAGCTGAATGTTTCTATAGAGAAATCCAGTGAGGGTCTGCGACTCATCACCATGATTATGAGATGAATATATGCTAAGGCTGAGCGAGGAGCTTACATGAATAAGTTATTAAGGAAAGGGCAGGGGAATATGCTAAATTCAGCTTCTCCTCCAGGCAGGATCAGGACTTCTGCCTTAATTCTGAGAGGTGGGTGAGCAAACGGATCATATTCTATTACAAAATCAGGTCTGAAATATTGTTATGGTCCGTTCTCGCTGTCGCCACAGAGTGAGCCTGCATTCTAATTCGTAATGCAAGCCAGGAGAATCGAGACACGTTTGCCCACCAGGACCAGTGATTCTGAGGGTCCTGCCAAAGGAATCAGTTGTAGCTTCAACTGCTTTTGACGGAAGAAACCACAAAAATATATTTTGTTTGAATGTTTTCGTATCACCAAGGAGATTTATGGAACTTCCTGCACAATGGAATAGAGAGGTCACACACAAAGTCATGCTACTCTCTGTTTCACATCGAAGCCTTTTACTGCCCTTTGACTTCTTAGGTTCTTTCTCCTGGACAGGAAAAGCTACATTGTTTTAAATATAGTCCAAGCCAAAAACAGCAGCAGACACTACAAGCGTTTCCAAAATATGTGTTCATTTACAGTTTGCTGCTGTGGCCTTAAAGGGATTCACATATGATAGTCCCCTGTCTTTCATTTATAAAAATAAAATTATTTATAATAAAATTATTTTAAACTATAAGAATAAAAATGTGATAACATTGAGTATTTGCTGTAATCCCTTAATGTAAATTCTCAGGGAAAAAGGCATAATTTTAGTATTTAAAAACATACTATTGAATCAATATTTCATATTGTACAGGTACTGAATGTCCTTTAATGTCTTTGTATACAGTATTGTTTATTGTCCCTTGCAAATTTATTTATCTATTCATTTTCTTATTTTGATTACAAATTTTATGCATGGTTATATTGTTCATGTACTCATTATTAAATTTTTTTATTTAAAGGGGTCCTATTATGCTCTTTTATAAAGTCTTGATTTTGTTTTGGGGGTGTACTACAACAGGCTCTCATACTAGGTTGTTCGAAAAACATTTTTCACATATTTTACATTATTACAACACCTCTCTTGCCTCAGTCTGACATGAACGGCTCAAACAGTTCCTGTATCAAATGAAGGCCCGCCTTCTGAAATACGAAATGTGTTGTGATTGGTTAGCTGGGCCAGTGTGTGTTGTGATTGGCAGCACTCGGCGCCTGGTCGGGAAATGTCATGCACCTTACCATAGCCGCCTACGAGCTTCAGTGTAAATATTGCGGAAATATCAAATCAGTTTGAGCGCAATTTAAACCCGGATTATTGTAACCACTCTAAGTTTGTCTGCCTTGGGAAAGCTAGCGTGTCTCCGGCATAGTGATGACACTCGTTGCCTTCTCTAGTGCAGCTCAACCAGGTCTTGTCCCATTCGTCGGTATTTGTGATATCACAAATCCCAGAAAATATGCGTTGTAGTCCAAACGAGTCGTTCATTGTAGTTTTTGAAAAGTGATTTCTGTTGAATAAAATACCTCCTTTTGAAGCGGACTTTGAGCTTAGTAACTTTGCAGATCTTTTTTATGCTCAAACAGCAACATTACAGACTAACTAAAGTTGAAAAAGTGAAAAAGCATAATGGGACCCCTTTAAAAAAAATTAAGTCCCATAAAAAAAAACCTGTAGCCATACTTGATTAATGTATAGGCTACTTAAAGCATACTTGAGATGGGATAGGTAATGTGTGAAGAAAACTAAGAGGAATCAAGGTCAACATTGTATTGAGTGCCTAGTATTTTTGTGAAATTATGCAAAAAGTATGAATATTATTGTGTCTATTCTATTCTATGTATTATCTATATTTATCTAATCGCTCAGTTTGCTATGCCTTTCTGCAATAAAAATAAAAGTAGGCCTATAGGTCGATTTAGCTATAGCTTATTATCAAGTTCTTGTCGTGTGTCATGTGATCACGACATCGCTCTTCATGGCGGCTTTACAGTGAAGTTCAAAGGTCCAGACTCTTGTAGGTGTTCATAAACGCCCATCTGTTTAATCCGGCAGTGCGAGGAGCCACTGATCTATACTGTAGTCTCATTTTTTATTTTATTTGAGCACATTTACAAACGCAATGGCGCAAGTACAAGTAAACAATGTGACTGTTTCTCAGGGGGTTCGTATGCTGTTCAGTCTGATGACTCCTAATGAATCCTCGTTCGCGACTGTTCAAGAGGTGCCGAAATATGTTAATCAGGTAAGTGTGACGTCATTACCGCGTTCACGGAGGATTTAGGAAAACAACGACGAGATTATACCCAGATTTATACTAAACGAGCTACACTGTTTAACAGCACACTCGCACTCAACAGAGAGATTGTTTTCGGCAGAGCTTGCATCAGGTGTTTACGTGTTTTTGTCCCCATTTCTGTTTCAGCACACATAGCAACATTGTTTGTTAAAAAGGTACAAGGATACCTTAGAAACTGTGCAGGAGTGCCATAGAAATGCAGTGTTACTGACATTATACTGTGAAAAGTTTAGTTCTGTCTGCCTGCCTGCCTGTCTGTCTGTCTGTCTGTCTATCT